ACAAAAAATAAACTATACCACTAGAAAGATCGCAAAAAACTATATATAAGATAATTAAGCGACTAGTGCGATTTTCAAGCCGATTTTGAATTAAAGATGGTTAAAGTTGGCAAAATGGCTACTAATTAGCATTAATTTGGTCATTTCTGCACTTTTTAACATTAAAAACTCGAAATAGGATTGGAAAAACGTAAAACTCACTTAATTGTCTTATGTATAGGTTTTTACGCTCTTTCTAGTGGTATAGTTTATTTTTCGTATAAGAGAACATGAAATTTTACATTTTTTCCGATCATAGTAATTTAATTAATAGGCAAAATTTAAAAATTCTCAAATTTTTGGCTATAAAACAAAAATCAGAAGTGGTAACACATATAGTCTTGTTCACCAAGGCTTGAACTATAAGAAAATGCCTGTTACCAGCTTCTAACATAAAGTTGCCATCCAGTTGTACAAATGGATGACTTGGCCGGCCGTCTATGAAGCGTGGTAGTATCACAAAATACAATATTTTAATTCAAATTTCACACCAATATACATCATAATATCAATGTTCTTAGAGTCGTAATGATCTATAAATAGAAAAATTCACGTCCATTGATTATACGATTACTTTGTTTTTATAGATTTCGAAATATGGTGGAACTTCTGGGCGCAGCGGAAACAGGAAATTTTCAGCAAGAAAAAAAGTTAGTGGATCATGGCGCTGATGTCAATTGGAAAAATTATAGTAATAGTCCTATTCACTCTGCAGTATCCTCTGGTTCACTGGAAATTGTCAAATATTTAGTTGAACATGGTGCTGCTGATGTAAATTGTAAAAATTATCGTGTTGGTAGTCCTCTTCACTCTGCACCATCATCTGGTTCACTGGAAATTGTCAAATATTTAGTTGAACATGGTGCTGATGTAAATTGTAAAAATTATCGCTTTATTACACATCCTCTTCACTCTGCAGTATCATCTGGTTCACTGGAAATTGTCAAATATTTAGTTGAACATGGTGCTGATGTAAATTGTGAAAATCATGGTGTTGGTAGTCCTCTTCACTCTGCAGTATCATCTGGTTCACTGGAAATTGTCAAATACTTAGTTCAACATGGTGCTGATATTAATTCGAAATGTTTGAAAGTTGCTAGCCCTCTTCACTGTGCAGTATCACCTGGTTCACT